CGGAAATTCTGCTATTCTTTATTGAAAAAAAAAATCCTTCAACATCGGATTCGAACGGCAAAAGGGCCTACAACACACACCAGCCGACAAATATTAACATTTATTATATTTTATGGTTAACTTTTTTTTTTCTTAAAGTTTCACAGGGGAGGCTCTGCCTCACCTGCCTCCCCTGACCGCACGTCACTGCTGTGGCAAACTCTGACATCCAAGACTCCACAGCAGCCTGATGAAGTGGAGATTTAATTTTGGAAAAGAAAACCTGCCAGACAAATAAAGACAAATACTAACATCAGCTTTTTGCTATGGGTCACTGAAAAACAAACCAGGAATTACTTTGAAATGAGAGTTGATGTATTTATGTTTTACTTTTGCTATATTCTGTGTGTTGGGCAGAAATTAGTGACAGCTTTGTTTTACAACTAAAACACATCCCGCCTAGTGGTTGCAACTTTTTAAAAAGCTAATTCCACACAACAACAAATGTTTATTTATGTTATTAGTGGTGTAGAAAAAAATTCATGGTGGCTGATATATCAGTAAATGGTTTTCTAAACGTTCAAATATTGTTGGTATATAAGCCTCAAAAATCCTCTACCAGCCAGGATTTATTTTAAAAACTTAGAAGTACAGTAGTACTCTCCATTTTCAAAAGAGATAAGAAGGCCCCTAAGATTAGATTTTGAGTGATTAGCATAACCTTTAGCTCACCAAAAAAAAAAAAAAAAAAACCCCAGGAAAAAGACCTAAAAACGTGTACCTCTGGACCATATACCTGGTGGACACATATGCCTCCTGCAGTGTGTCTTTCTGGGATGCCTTGTGGTAGACTGTGTGTGGCTTTGGATGTGTTGCTGTGCAGGGCCATTCCCTATGTGCAGTCTGTGCTGCAGTCACCGAGGAGGCCTTGTAGTCATTTGCTGTGGCCTGATGCTGCCTGCTCTGCATTCAGCACCAGTAGAGCTGGGAGGGGGCCGACCCCCCCAGCACTACTGCAGAAACACACACACTCGCGTAAGCACAGGCACACACACACACACACACACACACACACACACACACACACGGGGACTTCTTTTCATTCGGCACACGAGCTAAGCACAAGGGCCTTCAGCCATCACACTACAGATTCTGCTCGGTCCTCCCTTACCTTTCCTATATTTCAGTCTTTTATTGTTTTACTCCTTCATTTCACTTTCTATCACTACCTCATTCACACATATATGAGCTATTTTGTGAGTTATCAACATTTACTTATTTCTCCTACAGCAGCACAAAATGAACTCATACTAACCATCAGTGAGTGCTGCTGAGTTTGGTAGCATGTAGAGAAGGCTCTGTAAGGATATTGCTGCTTACAGATTGCTCCAACGCTTTCTTTCTGGCCATTTGGTGAGCCATCTTGTGTGTTTCACAGTTTCTTTCATGTTTGTTGACATTTGGGATGTGTGTTGGAGTCATTTCTGCAGCCAGTCTCAGTCCCCACAGCCATTGCCTAGAGGAAGACAAGCCAGCCACACTATGTTGGTTTAATTGGCTGTGTATAATGGGCCTTTGAAGTAAATATCAAGAGCTACTATCACAAGGCTGCTGGACGTTATCATGTGTTTCCACACTGCCCACTGTTTCTCCTCCATTTCAAGGCACCGATACCAGGCTGGTTTAGAGGCACAGAAATGGCTACGAGTTTAGATTCGCACAGTTGATGTAAACAAAACTAAACTGACCTGTGTGTTTACAACTCCTGCTTGTCACTATGGATACACTCAGTGAGCCCTGTGAGGTTGATGGAGGCAGGTGTGTTTGGACACATAGCTTTAACAGATGAAAATGTTACCAGGTTACATAAAGGAAGCATATGCATAAATTTAAATCCTCTGCCTTCCTGCATCAAAGCTTGTGTGTATTTTTAGAAGGATTGCAACTTTTCTGTGTCACTCTTATGCTACTCTAAACATTTATCCTGAGAGTAAAATCTGAGTTAATCATTTGCCTAAAGGTAGTGTGGTGTAATGAATGTCTTTGGTTGGTAACAGCCGTGCAGCTTGCTTGCTGATGGTTTCACACTTTTCTTAGGATGCTATGTAGAAAGCATAGTCACTGGCTCAGCATAACCTTGAGCTGGGGGCTGAGGTGGGAGGGTAGTAGTTTTGCTGGTCCCTGCATGGTGGAGATGCAGAAGGAGAGGGAGGCGACTGAAGAAGTGAGAGAGAATAAAGAGGATAACTAAGTCTCTCTCTCTTTTCCTCCCTCGCTCTGTCGACAGGCAGGGTTGGGACTCTGACGTGTGACAGGCTGGATGTAGAGTCTTTCTCCAGCATTCGTCATTCTGTCTGCCCATGATTGGCTGGAGTATTCTTATTCACACACAAAAAAATGGGTCAGGTGGCCTGTGGAAAATGGAGTGTTTGTATGGACGGATGGATGGACAGCGCATATGTACACACATGCATACCTACACGTGCATTCCACACAGAGCAGGATTATACTCTGCAGCAGAACAGCGCTGACAGATAAATATCACCTAAATGAAAATAAATCCAGGTTATGTGGTAAGCGTCTCTCATGTTGAATTCACTGTGTCCTCTCACAACCTGCGAGCCTGTTTTCTTGTCACACCCTGTGGCAGGTGGGCTTAGTGAGATAAATAAATGTGTGCACTGAAAAAAAAAAAAGCTGGGAAGAAAATCAATACCTGTGTGCATGAATCTGGCTGCAGCTGCCACAAAGAATTATGGGAACATGATGGGTAGATACACTTGGGCTGGACAGTGTGCATGCAGCATGATAAGCTAAAATGGTAAAGAAGAAAAAAGCAAAATCCCAGAAACCCAAGAGCCCCAAGAAAACAAGATATAAAACAGCTAAAATGGTAAAGAAGAAAAAAGCAAAATCCCAGAAACCCAAGAGCCCCAAGAAAACAAGATATAAAACACTTGGTTGATAGATAGATAGATAGATACCATAAGATGCCATATTGTAGTATTATGACAATTAATGCCCATGTGTAAATTTGAGTCAGTTAATTATTGGAACTGTCCACCTGTCTACAATGAAAATATGGTTGGATTTATGGAAATAGAGCATAATTAATAGCCCCCTGTATTGAAATCTAAACAGCTGTAGTTATTTTAGAAATGTCCAGTAAGCCATGCTGGGTATAGTATGATGGTACTTTATATTGAAGTGTAGCAATGTTATGAAGGCTTCATTACAACACTGCAGGTAGAAATCATGGCCATATTTATGCATTTATAATTGCATGCTTTTCAGGACAGTCTGTTATAAATGTGTCACAGGTGTACAGTACCACTGTGAAACACTGCCATTCGATGATAGTCTGTGTGCTCACTGCAGCTCTGCTGCTCCAGTCCTAGCCTGAGACTGACAGAGATATTAATTAAACTGGCTGATGCCCTTTTTGTCTCTTTACTGCACTGGCGTTGCAGTCATCATGCCCCTACCTCTGTACTGTGTTGTTTGCTCACCAATAACTGCAATTTGTTCTTTATTAAACTCTTGGGGCTAGGAACAATTAGAGTGTTAGCTGGAGGTGGTGGGTATCTGTGTGTGTGTGTGCACATGCATATATTTGAGTATAGGCAGGAGGAGGAGGGTCGAGGGAGAGATACTAAACACTGCTTAATCTTTGATAAACAGCAAAGTCTCCTTTGTGCCTCTGCAGTTTGTCGTATCTTCTCTAGTCTACTCAGCGCTGTGCTGGTCTAGCTCATGGCTGCTGTCTCCGTGGCTCCTGGACCTGGATGGAAGCCAGGTCATGCATGGCTCCCTGCCAAGATACAGATTCGCTATAAGCACAACATGAGCTAATCATGGAAGGAGCCACCAATTAATTGGCACTTAGACATTCTGTAGATTGTATGGATTTGAGGCTGGATGTTAGTGGATATGTATGACTGGCATCTTGATATATTCACATGACACATATTGGAAAAATAAAAAGGGTTGTTGTGTAGTTGCATGTATGTTAAGTGCATCTTTTTTCACTGTAAAACTCAGCTGTATGGGAAGCACACGCATGAAAGTTGTTTTGCTAAACTGCAGAGAGGGCTGGGCTGGGGTAGGTTGTGTACATATATTTGAGTTTGTGTGTGTTTGTTTGGAGGATATTAGTCCACCGAAATCCCTCTCTGGGTGGGAGAGAAGGCAATATGACATGGATGATGCATTCAGACCTAAACATTCACACCTAAACAAGGTGATATGAAGCAAGTTACAGTTTTGGTGCAGAAATGAGGAGCATTAAAAGCCACTTCTACAGGACATTATAAGAGAAGTATGACGGGACCTTGTATACAGCACACAGTAACCTTCAGGCATTTAAGCAATTTTCATTTATAAGTAAAAACATCAGCAATATTAAAAACATGGAATCAGACTGAGCGGCAGGTGTGGACAGCCAGAGCAGTGTCAGTCACAGTGCTGTGGAAACACCTGTGTTGCTGCCTGCTGAGCGCTATGTGGTTACTCACTGTCAGCGATGAAAAAAGGAAGGTGATCCCCCAACTCTCCATCCACATTTAACCCTGCTGTACTATGACGTCAGAAAAAATATCTGAAAAACACATTGATTTAAAACCTTTGATTGGTGACAAAGGCCGCTTGAAATTTCAGCATCTGTGAAGGAAACTGTAGAGAGGCTGATGTGCATGTAAACGTCTATATGTTTGTGTGTGTGGCAGGGACACAGAGGGAGAGGAGAAAATTGTGTTAGTATGTGTTGGTGTGTAGGAGGAGGAGGAGGGGCACTAGCTGTGAATGGTTGCTCTTATCGCGTGCATGCAGCTGCTGCAGTGTCTTTGAGAGACAGAGGGGCTGTCCATGCATGCCACTCACAGCCTCTCTCTCTCTTTCTATCCCTGCGTGTGCTGCATTTTACAGCAAGCGAGTGAAAGAAAGAGGTGGAAAAAATCATGACTTCAGCTTTAATGAAGACCTGTGACACGCAGGTCTTCAGTTTCATATCCTCGTGATGATTCCTATAATAAGAGACAGGCAAGAAATGAAATGTCACTGGACATCACCACATCACCTCGATTGACATCTGGTTGTTTCTTGCATTGTTGACACAGACATTTTAACATTTGAATAAATCTTGGTTGTTTATGTGCCTAAGCTAAACAGGCCTAAAATGTGGCTTGTGTTTTTATCATATTATTCAAAGATGTAGTGTCTTCCCTCTAACGAAGTAAATATTCAGTTAAATCGGATTATTTTCTCTCTACAAAAATCTGCTGAGATTAGTAGGGCAGGAAAACGTCCTGTGGAAGAATATATTATAGATAGTAAGTAAAAGCAAAAAGAAAGAAACTTTAGTTGTCCCACAAATCAGTCAGGAGGAAAGATACCTTCCTTCTCTTCCACATTACTAATCAAAACTATGAATAATGAAGGAATTAATTCAGTTAGGAGCCAATGGCTGTATAAAAGTGACTTGCAGAAAAGTGTTTCCAAGATGAGCAGTTATTGGAAATCACCTTGGTAGATGGGCATCTCAGGCAGCTGGAGAAGTGCTCTCCCATAGTAATGCATGTTGCATACAGAGTGTGTTCTGGCATTTGTACTCCCCCAAATCTCTGCCCAGGTGCCCTGTCATGTATCGCTACACTCCTGCAGCAGTTTTTCAAGCTGTGATAAGTAACCTTGAGTCTGATAGAAGAGTGGGGAGAGCAGATGGTGAGAAAGGATGATTAGGAAACAGTGTGGACTGTCAAACCTGGGAGGACTGGAGAAACACAAGTTTATTCAAGGTGATTTTAAAGAGCAAGGGTTTTGCTTCTTGTTTTGTTCAAATTAACTTATTGTTACATTTATCCACTAAACTGATTTAACACACTTGATGTTTTCTGGTCATTGCATGCATTTAGATATAGTTATAAACTGAAAACTTGATTAGTATTAGATACATATTTTTAAATGAGATGTTAATGTTTTTGACTAAGATTAGGAAATATTTAACAAAAATGTGAAAAGCAAATTTGTTATATATTCAAGGCCAAAGAGGAGTACCACAGTTGCATTGTTCATTTTATTTTGATGCAGGATTTGTTGGATTTATTGACATTTACATGCTGATAATGTTTTACTGTATATACCTATTATTTATATTTGTTTCATTAAATGAAACCTAAAGCTGCTGTATTTATTTATTTGTAAGACTATTTTTTGAAATGATAACTACTTTCCTATCATTTAAATGCAGGATTTGAAATAATTGCTCAGCATTTTGTTCAAGATGCATTTATATGTTTGGTCAGAATGGGGCTTATTCTGGGTGCAAACTCCCAATTGTGACAATAATAAACCAGCACTAACTAACCAGTGCTTTACATTATAGTGTCTATTTTTTTAAATAAATGCTTGCATAAATCTTTAATTCCACCTGGCAACTATCGATAGAGATACAGTACTGAAGGAATCTAAAAAAAAATATTCACAGGCCAAAAAAATAAACTAATAAGTGATTGCATGAAGGGTCCTTTGCATAATCTGAGTTAAACCATAATGCAGAATAAAGAATGAACAGTCTAAAAATATCCTGCCTGGCGAGAGAAAAGAAAACATGTTCAATTGTCATGCTACATGCTAGTGCTTTTTCTGCAGCCATCAGTAACATTATTATTGTTATTAGTTTTGTTTTTGCCTTGCATTGTCTCAAAGTTATTGAAATAAGAGTGCAGAAAAATATGTAATAATAGTAAACAAATCTATTATATTCATGTATAAAGACAGTTGAATTTAATGTTTTGGCAATGATGAGCCACAAAAAGATTTGTCTTTTGCATATGGTATATAGTCGTGCTGTTGCTGAGGCCCTGAGTTGACACTGTCAGCCCTGCCTGATTGGCTGCAGCTTGCTATGACTCGGCATGCATTTGCCCAATACGGTTAGCTCAGGCTCCATTCCTTTTTTTTACCCCACCCTAAATAAACTGCCTGGGGAAACTGTACAAAAATTAGAGAAAGGGAGAGCAAGCCTTTCATCTAATTGAGAAGCTCATATTATCTGTGGTGGGAAGATAAGCTCGTCTCTCTCAGCAACTATTAAGCTCTTTGTATGTTAGCCATTTTCTTCTTTTTTTCACAGTCGCTTGATTTTTTTAACCGTCACCTGTGCACTCTGTGTTTGTGAGGTGCAGGTTTAATGCTACTGTATGTGTGTTTATCTTTCTCTGTTCCAAGCTGCTGTACCTGTACACATGCACATCACTCCAAAAATGGAGACCAGATCATGTGACCTTGTGCAGTCATTAGCAGGGAAACACACATATGTTTTCTGTACTTCATCAACTTTGATTATTTGCACCCTCCTACACTTGTGAGCACACCCTGGGATGAAAACATGTTGATGTGTAAGACATTATGAGACAAATTTGCCTTTGACACATTCAAATATTCATACAACTGTGAAATATAACAAAAATGAATTCTGACAGTTTTTTAGATATGAAAAAAAATGTTCAAATGTCAAGGTGAAAAAACTCAATGAATTTTATAACTGTTCATAAATATTTGCATGTTTGCAACATGTGTGAGAGGCCACCACTGACTAAGTGTGTCATGCATCAATTCATGTGACCCAAAATATGTTCTGATTGACATTGAGGATAAACCTTTGCTTGGCTTTATTGTGGTCTGATAGTTGGAGTGTAGTTGTTCTTCCTGATTACATTGAGTTTTATAGTGTCTTGATCCCTTCAGCTCTCCATTAGTAGTGAAAGCAGTAAAAGGTTTGCTGTGTCTAGGCTGCTGCTGCCGAATATATATTAAAAAAAACATTTATTTTTTTATTCCTAACCATTCTAAGCCTTTTTTCAGTCAGTAAAAAAGACATTTAGTGAAGTGATGCATTAATAAAGGCCCTTTAGTGATGCTGATGTTCGGGTTGAATCTGTCCAGTTTTTGTTTGTCTAGGGAAAACAATAAATAAGCAAATTATGATAACAAAATAGTGTTGTGTGTATTCTTTCAAAGAATAAAATGCCGTTCATTTTATGTAGCAATATCAAGCTTGTATTTTGAGCTGGAGTTGAAAGGTCCGTGTAAGTAAGTCCTCCCATCTGTGCATACACACACAAACACATGCACACGCACACACACCTATCCTTTCCTGAGGCAGGTGCACTGCTCTTCAGCCACACTCACTCACATGGAGCTCAAATAGTTCCTTATCCATGTGAAAATAGCTGCGCTGAAGAAGCAGTATTGTGTGCCTATACAGGGCCTGAGCAAACACAGCGGCTGTGTAAGTGATCAGTTATCCCATTCATAGAGGCCCCATAATGGCCAGCTTCTCCCAGCCTTGTTTGCTCTGTGTTTTGTGGCTTTGGTGTCTGGCAGATGGGTCATCAGGGATTATACCTGCTAATGAAGAAGGTAGAGGTGGGGGGAGTGAAGGGAGTGAAGGCTTATTACAAATTATGATATGACCACATGGAGCACAGGGGCTGCTGTAGGTCCTCTATTAAACCTCTCGTCCAACTGGATGTGGATGCGTTTTAAAGTTGACAGTGGGGACAGTTTATGAATTTGGGCTTATCTCTTACTACCTTTATTTGTAATTTACAGGCAGTTACAAACTGTATAGTTTACCCTTTAGTTTTTGTCATGGAGACAACTTTGTTGTAAAAATATTATTATTTTTGCATTTGCAACATTAATAAATCCCCCCCCAAACAAATAAACAAATGTTGTTTTTAGAGCATATGTGTCTGTGGTGTACAGTATATTACCAACTAAATTTCTGTATTTTAGTTTTTCATGGTTTTTGGACAGTTCTCTATTTTCCAGAACATAACTCATAGCACCAGCTGTAGTAATTGTGGGTGCAGGGTCATCACTGAGGTTATGACCTGGTATCCTGGGGCCTACAGACCCATGCTGACAATATCTTGCCCTTCCAGCATGATTACACAAGGCATATGTCCGGGCAGGATAGCCTAATGCCTGACATCCCCCCTCCTCCAACACACACACACACACACACACCCATAGATATGCTTGCACGCACACACAGCCCCTCCCTCTGCAGCCTTTAACATATGGAGATGGAAGGAATTAGCACAGGGCAATAGAATAAATGAGTTAAAGCAGCCAGCAGCTTAGATTTTACAATATCAGTTCTTGGGTGACCCGTCTGTGAGTTTCCTGGAAGTGCAATTGCGGAGAAAAGTCTAGCCTCCATATTTTTCTATTCCTTTCCTTCAGAAACATGTAACATCAACTATGGCACTTTTGTATAAGGGTACACACTAGTAACTAAATTGCTCACAGGCCCTTAATATCCATACATTTCTGTGATTAGGGACAGACATGTGCAGAGAAGTACCGTGAACACTGTTTTGAGGATATACAGTGTTTTGGACCAAACCGTCCACAAAGCCACAGTCTGACCCTGACAGGCTTCTCGTGTGACCCCAACAACACGCCCCATCCCAGATTCAGCTCAGATCTCATTAAATGGGATTATGCTGGCTACCTGCCATTTAGTGGCTTGGGCACAACCTCTTATCTCCTGTCTTCAGATGGCTGCCAAGAACAACATAATGCACAATGACCTACATTAAACAATGCCACATGCAGGTTTTGTACTGAGCTTATATCTTGTGGCCAGTCTAGGTACTGTCTTCCTAATGCTGATTTCCATGGCTAAATGTAGGTTACTAGGCCACTTACATGGCTAATTGGGATCTAATGACCGACCTCATACTAAAGGCATTCAGGCTCAAATCAATTAAATGTTGTGATGCAGACCAAGGCCAGTTGCAGCATATAAGTGTATGTGGTGGTTGGTTGGATTTGTGTTAGTTCTATGCACACAAAACTGTAAGCTTCTATGCTTTGTAAAGCATGTCTTTTCCTACTCTTCCCCACCCTGGCACTACACTCCTTACTTTAGTATATAAGGTTTTGCCTATATATTTAGCAGGATGTGACCCTGAGAGAGACTAGAGAGGGCAGTGGAGTCCCTGTGACATCTCGAGCACCCTCCCATACTCTCCTTCGAAGCAGGGACACAAATTCAGTAGTGTAAGAGGCTTTGTGTTCAAATCCCCAGTTGATCTTCATAAAGTTTGTGT